GAGTGTTATGTAGAAACTAATTTGACAATAAACTATTTGTAAAAAAAAAAAAAAAAAGAAAAGAAATCCTGGCACATTTTGGACATTTAATACACAAAAAGATTTAAAAAGCAGAAACTCACCCTTACACTCTACATGTGGGGTCCAAGTCAAATTTTCCTGACAAGTCACAGTCGTAGGCCAATCTGAAGTAGGCTTATAGCCATCATTGCACCTGTATTTCAACATAGTTCCAACACTATAAATTCTCTGATTTGTTGACATGTGGTGGTTATATGTTTCCCAGGAGGCATTTGGGATGTCTGGTAAGCCAATACAACTATCTGCTCATAAAGGAAGAACAAGGGGGAAAAGACACTATTACTAGGGATGCAGCAGTGACCATCAACTAGCCTGTCCCTACCAAAGGATCTCCTGTGATCATTCAGTCAGAAACCATCTTGGTCTGGCTGATGCATCGACCACACCAGAAACAGACTAGCACCAAGTTATCATTATTAGTATTAATGTAATTCTTAAGGATCCACATGAGTTTATAATTTCAGAGTGTCAGAATCATAGTTAGGCCATATAATAAATTTGTGGAATTTAGAAAAAGGTGTCCCCCCCATGGGGGAAAATTATCATAATGTAATGATTTTTTTTGGAAGAAAACAATTTTCTTCTAACTGCAAGAGAATTGTTGAAAGAAATATACTAATCCACAATGTCTACCATGTTAATGTCTCCCTTTAGCACTGGAGAGTCCACAACCTGCACAACTGTATGTGGCAACCTTTTGTGATTAAAGAAGATATCGCCCAGTGGACTGTCTCATTTTTTCCCCCAACAACTACAAGACGTAGACAGTCATTGATCTAAATTTAAATTTTCACTGTGGATCAAGTGGGTCTCATCATACAAGTATGCCCTCACCAACATTTCTGGGTAATTAAGATGAAAACATGAAATCCTTTTATGGTCCATACTTACTGAGCTCACAAGTGGGAGGAGGAGGATTCCAGTTGTTATCTTCTTCACAGTGGATTAAACTGCTTCCTTTGAGAATAAAACCTCTATTGCAGTCAAATACCATGGAGTCTTTATAAGTATAGTGAGGTCCAAATCCCAAGATTATTTTTCCATTTTGAATCTCTGGCTTAGAACAAGAGATTTCTAAAGAATCAAAAGAAGATATGAATGGATTATAAAGAAGAAATGGAAATGAGGATATTACTGCTGTTGTTAATCCAGTGTCAACTATAACACAAAAGCCTAATACAGTATATGCCAAGTGGATGCATACAAAACATTTTTAATGTTTGTTTATTATTTTTGAGAGAGACAGAGACAGAGCGCAAGTGGGAGAGAGGCACAGAGGGTGGGAAACACAGAATCTGGAGCAGTCTCCAGACGCCAAGCTGTCAGCACAGAGCCTGATGCAGGGTTCAAACCCACGAACCATGAGATCATAACCTGAGCCAAAATCAAGAGTCCAACACTTTACCGACTAAGGCACCCAGGTGCCTCCAAAGCTCTTTTAAGAAGCCAGGGCATAATTTACTTTTCTCTCTTCACCTATTGAGCAGATTTTGAAAGCACGTTTTGATGTGCAGGTACCACAAGATTAAAGCATCATGGACTGCTTAAGTTTGTTGCTAAACTACCACCCAGACTACACTGCCCTGGAATCTTCCAGACATGGAGCAGACTCAGTGTGAATGAAAACCAAATTCACTTTGCAAAGCCGATGAGAGATTGGTGCTGCTTATTACTGCACAGTGGTACACCATGCATAAGTCAGTTGGGGAAAAGAAATGAAAGCATCATAGCAATAATTACTCTTGTAATCATTCCATTTCCCCCAACAAATTCACCTTCCAATCCAAAATTCACCATTGTGACTTACCTTTATTTTTTTAATTTTTAAAATTATTTTGAGAGAGAGAGCACACACGAGCGGAATGGGGCAGAGAGAAAATCTCAAGCAGTCTCCATGCTCAGTGTGGAGCCAGATGAGAGGCTCCATGCAGGACTCGATATGGAGGAGAAGGGCTCGATCTCATGACCTGATCGATGATCATGACCTGAGCTAATATCAAGAGTCAGATGCTTCACCAATTGAGCCACCCAGGCACCATGACTTACTCTTACAAGTAGGAGGACTTGGGCTCCAGACGCCTATTTTTTTATTTTCCACTGTGCAAGAAATGGAGGCTTTGCCTAACAGTGAGAAGTTGGGGTCACAGCTGTAGGTAACAGAAGAGCCGTATACATAGAAATCTTCATCTCCACCATTGTGTTTCCCATTGCTGATGGCTGGAGGAGGCTCACACTTAGCAACTGGGATGAGAAAGAAATAATCAGGGAACATATCCTTGCAAATCTAAAATTCATGATACAAATTTTAATGGAGGATAGAAGATGCAGCAAAGAAGCACAGGAGTTTTAGTACTGAACATCATTTAGGCTTATGCTGAAGTTAGAAAAAGTCTTTACTTACTTATACATTGTGGGAGAGGATCACTCCAATCAACTCCTTTATCATAGATATCACAATGACTAGTGGCTGAGCCAATTAAAACATATCTGAATAAGACAGGACCAAAGATTTCAATGAAATTCTTCGGACTCTAAATGAAGTTGGATAAAGAGGTCTAAACAAATTAACTGATTACTCAATATTTTAAAAAATGAAGAAACAATGTTTTCCAAATAGCACTTCCCACTGAGCACTCCATTCAGTAAAACTTCATCATTGCAATGAGATGTGCATGTTTGTTCATTCATTCTTTTATTCTGGAATCTATTGTTGGATATCAACTATTTATTAAGCGTGGAGTTTATCCCGAGCTCAAACAGAACAATGTAGGGTAAAAGGCTTTTCATCTGAGTGTGCTCTGCAGTGTTTTTGTAGAGGACAGTACCAGCCAGGTTACTGACCCCAAACATTCATGTCCTCTGACATGCAGCCTACTTCTGACTTAGAGGTGCTTACCCTCTCCAATACACCATTAACTCCCTGTTCACGATTCCCATTTTTATAGCTCTTTACAAGTTCTAAGCTTTCTTTAATTTGTCTTACTGCCCTCTGTATATTATGGTAACAGAAAGAAAAGGCACTGTTAGTATGTTTTAAAATTGTACTCTCATCAAGGAATAATGTACACTCTGAATGAAGCCTAATGCAAATGTGACCTCCGGCAAACTAGAGGATTTACTTAATGATAAAGTAAAGAAAAATGAATCTTTTAATAAGATAAAAGAGAGTGAGAAGTAAGTATTTTTCTTATTTTGAAATTTCTTAAAAATGTAAGTTTTCCAAACTACCCAGGAAACCAACTGAAAAGTGTGGTTTCCAGTTTTTCCAACGGAGCACTTTAGTGTTCTGCCAGCTCTTCCATTCTGAGTCCTCTCATTTTCCGTGTTGGGAGCCATAAGGGATAAATAAGGCTCACATATGTGAGAAAATCAAACTAAAGAAAACAACATTAGAGGAAAATATTAAACACAGATAGCAAGCAAAGGAAAATCAACACATACTTAGTTGGAGAACCTGAAGGAGGAACACAAAACAAAACAAAATAGCTATTTTAAAATGGATATCAAAGAAAGTATTACAGAAGTAAAATATTACCTAATCTACATTTTAAAATAGCAGCAAATAGCAAAAAATGTTGACCTAAATGATATATTCCAAGACAGCAAAGAGTAAAATTACTGAAAATTATTTTGAGCTAAAGGCACTTGAAATGGCAGACACAGGAAAGGCACTTGGACTTCCCTTTTCTTCCTGAAAGCAGGAGATAAAATTGTCATGTGGAAGATACTATCCCTATACCACGAGGAAAAGAACAATCTTATCACCAGAGATGAAAAGTTGAAGCCAAGAGAATTCTATACAAACAGACCTTGTGAAAATAACCCTTAATCTTCCTGTAGCTTCCCCATGTATTTTTGTTATTTTTCTACAATTGCTACTTTTTTTTCAACCTAGCATATAAACACTTGGGTCTAATCACCTCTTGGGTCTTCAGTTCTCCTGCTGTAGGCTCCCTCGTGTGTCTAAAAATAAAATGTGTATGCTTTTCTCCAGTTAATCTGTTTTATATCAACCTAATTCTCAGGCCCAGTCAGAGACCCTAAGAGGGGAGAGGAAAAGTGTTGCATCCCCTACAAGAGCCTATTTTTGTCCAGGGAGACTCAACATTTAAAAGAGTCTATTCTTCAAAACCTAAGTTAAACACTAATCCAGCATTGATTTTAAAATATGGCTAAATTTAGAGGCTGCTGGGTGGTTCATTCAGTTAAGCATCCAACTTTGGCTCAGGTCATGATCTCATAGTTCCTGAGTTTGAGCCACACTCATTCTCTCTCTTTCCCCGCCTCTCTCTTCCTCTCTTCCTCTCTCTCTCTTTCTCTCTCAAAATAAATAAACTTTAAAAAAATAAAATAAAAAAATGCTTAACTTAAAACTTTATGTAAAAAACAAACAAGTTTTGTCTGCCTTTTTTTTTTAAAGGCAGTAAGGCAAGACTACTTATATTGGCTGTTAAGACACATTATAAAGTCTTGATAAGCAGGTCACTGTGAAATGAGTATATAAATATAGAGGCAAAACAATGGGATTTAGTAGAAACATATAGATACATACATGATATATATGAGACACATATGAGAATTTAATGCAGTACCAAAAAGCGCTCTCAAATTAGTAAACTGAAGATGGACTTTTGCGGTAACAGGAAAGTCATATGGAAAAATATAGCCTAAAATATGCACTTCATGCTGTATATTATATGTTGACTCTAAATGGATCAAAGCTTTAAACATTAAAAATATGAAAACGTGCAAGCAGTAGAAGAAATCTAGGCAAATACTTTAAAATCTTGTATTGGAGAAGGACTTTTAAACAATGACCTAAAATCTGGAAGTCATTTTATTTTATTTTATTTTATTTTATTTTATTTTTTTATTGATTGATTTGATTGATTGATTGATTGAGAGAGAGAGAGAATGAAGGGGAGAGACAGAGGGAGACAGAGAATCCTAAGCAGCAGACTCCAAGCTCAGCATAGAGCACACTCATGAGAATGAGATCATGACCTGAGCCAAAATTAAGAGTCTAACGCTTAACCAACCGAGCCACCTAGGTGCCCCACCCCCCAAGAAGTCATTTTAAAAAGAGAAATTGATGAACTTGAAGCAGAAACACATTTTTTCCTTGAGAAGAAAAAAAATGTAAAAAGAAAAATTATATACTTGGGGAGAAGTTTGCAATTCATATCAGAAAAAAGCTCTAAACCCTAATAAGCACAGGTTCATGTGTGTATATCCTGTGTATATATAGAGGTTCATGTATGTATATATCTAGCCTAAAAATTAAGAATAAAAATTCAACAAATTAATTGAAAATATAGGCAAAGGGATATGCCAAATAGTCCACAAATAAGTAGTGTTTCTTGAACACGTAAAAATATGTTCAGCCTCAATCATAATAAAAGAAATATACATTGAAACTATAGTGAAATTCCAGTTTTACCTATTAAATTGGAAAATTTTCAAAAACTTTATAAGCTTTCAAAAGCTTGGCAATACAGAAAGTTTTTGAAGAGAAAGACATTTACATACTCTGCAAAACACTGTAACCTTTAAGGAGAGCAATTTTGCAATATCTTTAAAATTTTCAAAAATGTGTACTCTTTGACCCAGAAATCCCGCTCTGGAAATTGGCCCTATAGATATAACTACATCTGTACAAAATTATTTATGTACAAGGTAATACATTAGAGCACCATTCAGAACAGCAAAAATTGGAAACATTCTATGAAGCTGTAAAGGTAAATCAATGAGGAACTTCTATGCACAAATGTGGAACTATGTCCTGTATACACTGATGAGTAAAAAACAAGGCAAGATTCAGGGGTGCCTGGTTGACTCAGTCAGTTGAACACCCAACCCTTGATCTCAGCTGAGGTGACAATCCCAGGGTTGTGGGATCAAGCCCTGCATTAGGCTTCATTCTGAACATGGAGCCTGTTTGGGATTCTCTTTACCTCTGCTCCTCTTCTCTACCTGCACTCACTCTCTCTCTGAAAGAAAGAAAGAAAGAAAGAAAAGAAAGAGAGAGAGAAAGAAAAGAAAGAGAGAGAGAAAGGAAGGAAAGAATCTTCAAAGCTATGTTCGTTGTTGGAAAGGTACAATAAAAATGTATACTGATTTCTTAACTTGCGTTTGTAAAAAATAAACACTAGAAAGATACTTAAGAAACCAATAAAAGTGGATCCTTGTTTAAGGACACAAAAGAATGGAGTGGGTGGTGAGAGAGTAGAAGTGAAAATTCTCAGTGTATACGGTTTTACATCATTTTTATTTTTGTTTTTGTTTTTTCTTTTAAATTTTTATAGTTTATTTTTGAGACAGAGAGAGACAGAGCATGAGTGGGGGAAGGGCAGAGAGAGGGAGACACAGAATCTGAAGACAGGCTCCAGGCTCTGAGCTGTCAGCACAGAGCCCGATGCGGGGCTCAAATCCACAAACCGTGAAATCATGACCTGAGCCGAAGTCAGATGCTTAGCCAACTGAGCCACCCAGGCGCCCAATCATTTTTACTTTTGAACTATATGAACACATTAGCTACTTTTAAAAAATTAATTTAAAAGAATTATTTCTAGATTGCTTCACACTCACCCTTCTGAGCAGGCGAATTCTATGTGTGATCCAAACAAGATATCTGTCTTAACTATCACTTGCCCATTTTGCAATTCTCCAGGGTGTCTGCATTTTTTCTCTGACAAAAAAAAATATTAAAATGATAATTAGTGATTCCATGTACTCATAGATAAGGCATTAGAAAAGAAGATTGACTGATTAGCTTTGACCTATGTTTCCAGAAAGACCTAGAAACTGAGATTCAAACTTATTTCTGATCCTGAAACATTAAATGTTTACTTTGGAGGATAAATGAATACAAAATGTGATCTCATATTTTTCTGGTACATTTCACAAATAAAGAAAAATACTCAGTTAAATCACTGTGGTTATGGAGTCTATGAACCAGGATAGACACTGATTAGGAATCTATGATCCATTCTATATCTGTAGCATGTACTTTGTATTTAGGCCACTCAAAACTGCATTTCATGAGTTACAAAAGGTATAACAAAAATTGTAGATTGTATGCCCTTACTATTGGAAAAACATTACAGAATTTATTCTCAACTGTAAGTGAATCACAGAATCTTCTTCCAAACACAGCAAATATTTTGGGTGAAGTTTCTTTGGAAACCGCATTACTGCTCTGTAGCCACATAACTTTTTTTTAAAAGTGTATGTGTTTATTTTGAGATAAAAAGACTACATGCAAGTGGTGAAGGGGCAGAGAGAGAGAGAGAGAGAGAGAGAGAATCCCAACAGGTTCTGTGCGGTCAGGGCAGAGCCTAACACAGGGCTCAATTCCACAAACCGTGAGATCATGGCCTGAGCCAAAATCAAAGGTCAGAAGCTTAACCCACTGAACCACCCAGGCATCCTTAGCCATATAACATTTTTTTATAATTTTGTAAAGAATGAAGATGTTTTTCAAAATCTTAAAACTGAATTTGTAGTTCACTTTGGAAAGAAATGTTTATTGAACTATATTGCAAACGATAAACTTATTTTTCACTGCAACTAGGTAGTTTATAATTTTTATGGTTTTGTTATGTTTTTCAAAAGGTAGCACACATGTGTACATTGGAATCAGTAACTGACAACTAGATGGTTTCTTAGCAATCAAATATTATCAATTGTGTTCAGAAAACTTAATTCCTGAAACAATTTTGCAAAGAAGGGAAAAGCACAAATAAGAAAAATGATTGTTCACACTTACTGACACAGAACTCATCGTAGACCCATAAATTTCGTTGGCAGGTAAGAACCTGACTTTTAAAAAGATCCTTACTGTAACCAGGGCGGCAGGTGTATTTCAGGATAGTTCCAGACCTGAAGGAAGTCTGGTTCAACACATTTGTTGGAGAAGCAAAGTGTAAATTCGGTGGGACATCACAAATACCTGCACACCAAAAAGACGAAGAATCCCAGAAGTTAATACCTTGAAACACAGTGTCTTAATGTTTCAATAGTACAATTTTTAGAGGAAGAACCATTCTCCTCTAATCAAGAAAAATAACGACTCCTATTATCCCCATTGTTCAATGAATCCAGTGAGTGATCAGTAGCACATATTTGCTGATAAAGGATAATGATAATGTTAATGATGAATGATAGTAATAAAAGGCAGAACTCTTTCGTCCTCTTTCTGCTATTTATGAGATAACTTATCTAAAAGGATAGTAGATGTGATTTCATCCACCTATCAGATTCCTCAGATCTGCTGACTCCAAAGTAACTGGGCAAAGCCAGTAATTCCTACAATTTCCCTCAACAGAAGCATATTATTTCATCATAAAAACATTGTGTAAGATTGGTTGCCTCAGAAATAGGAAACTTCTGAGTTTCCTATAGGAAACCCAGGTAGCTGGGAGATGGATAAGAACAACATTTTTTAGTTTGTATTTTTTGTGCATGCTGGATTTTGAATGGTGTGAAGGAAAAAGCATGGGGTCCTTGAAACATAAAAGTCTTAATCCTGCTGACCTTGCAATAATTAAATAGAGGATTAATTTACATTTCAGAAGTCCTAGTAGAAGTCTATACTTATTTCCCCTCTCTCTTCTAGATAGACCCAGAAGCAGTGACAATTGCTTAGTCAGGCTGATAGATCATACAGATTGGTTTCAAGTCATGCTTGGGTGACAGATGCTTTGGAAATCCCTGGAGGAGAAATGATAGGAGGAAGTGTCTAGAAAATTGCTTCCTTTGTGGATAAAACAAATTACCCCTAAATCCCAAATAATTCCAAATCCCCATCAAACTTCAAATTCCAAATTTCTGATCAACTAAATCCCTTGTTGCTGAATGTGCTTTCTGCTGAAAGTTTAATCATCTGTTGGTCTTAAAAGTGAAAAAGTGGATGATCTTGAATGTTTGTTGCCAATCTGAACTTATCTCTCTATTACTCACCAAGAACAGTAGCAAATAGAGCAGCAACCAAGGTCATTTGGAAGAGAGTTGGATCAGAGACTTTCCACAGCCTAAATAAGGGACAGGCTGCCATTTTCTTTTTTCTATGATGGATCCCATTTGGAGCACAAGGGCGCATGACCTGATGCTTCTCCCACATTTTTCTGCTGAAAGAACTCAATTCAATAAACAGTTATTGAGAGACACTTGGGTGGTTCAGTCTGTTGAGCTGCAAACTCTTGATTTAGTCTCAGGTCATGATCCTAGGGCTGTGGGATAGAGCCCTGAGTTGGACTCCATGGTGAGTGTGGAGTCTGCTTGTCTGTTTGGAATTCTCTCTCTCTCTCTCTCCACCCCTCTCACCTGCTCATTCCCTCTCCCTCACTCCCTCTCTCTCTCTCTCTCAAAAAACAAATACATAAAAATAAATAGTCATTGAATTCCTACTTGTCATAATGCACTAGGATAAATGCTACTAGATCCACATCGTCTAGGAAATAAAGGCCTAAAATGAAAGAAAGCACATAAATACAAATGTCACAACACACGACAGTGTTAGATTCTTCAGAAGCACTCTGCTCAGAGGAGAGATAGGGAAGTGGTTGCTAAGAAGGAACAGCTTATACATTGTCTGAATGGGATGTAGGGTCAGGTTTAGGAATTTATAGATACTACTCTTCAGGAAATAAAGAATCATTGCTTTTTGTTTTTGCTTTGCTTTGAAGCTAAGGAGTGACTCATTACCATGCTTTGAAAAGAGTAGTATGGCAGATGTGTACATGACAGATTGAAGTAACCAGAGAGAAGAAACAGGGAGGTTGAGGAAGACTATTATTGCAATTGGCCATGTGAACCGCAGGGATAGTCTGACCAAGGAAATGGCAGAGGGCTTGTAGAAGAAGGAATAAACATAAAACAAAACAAATCCATAAGGCAGGAAAATGATAAGACGGAGAAAAGGAGCCGGATCTGTGTAGTATTGACAGTTCCTCATGACAACTGTCAACAAAGAAAATAAACCATCAAGAATTTGCAGTTTTTAAAGAACAGTTTATAGAGAGATTACTGAATACTATAGATTTACATAGAGATACACAAGGAAAAGTAAAATGTATGTGACAAATGTACTTTCGCTATTTAATCAGACTATTTAAACTTGTTTCAAGCAAAATCATAAAGAACACTTTTCTCTCCACCGCTCTGTTCCCTTTGGGGAAAACAATGTATCTTATATTTAACATTGATAATAGTCCTTGTTCTCTGGGACGCCTGGGTGGCTAAGTGGGTTAAATGGCCGACTTCGGCTCAGGTCATGATCATGCGGGTAGTGAGTAAGAGCCCTGCATCAGGCACTGTGCTGACAGCTCAGAGCCTAGCGCCTTCTCCAGATTCTGTGTGTCTCTCTCTCTGTCTCTCTCCTGCTCACACTGTCTTTCTCCCTCAAAAATAAATATCTTAAAAAATAGTCCTTGTTTTCAAAGGACTGTATGAAATTCACTCCTAAGGAAATACTGAATTTCATCTTTTTGAAAAAATAGTTTATTGTCAAGTTGGTTTCCATATAACACCCAGAGCTCATCCCCACAAGTGCCCTCCTCCATGCCCACCGTTCCCCTTCCCCACACCCCATCTGCTCTCATTTTGTTCTCGGCATTCAAGAGTATCTCACGGTTTGCCTCCCTCCCTCTCCCCTACTATTTTTCCCCTTCTTCTCACCCATGGTCCTCCATTAGGTTCCTCCTAATCCTCCTACGTGTGCAAACATATGTTATTTGTCCTTCTCTGCCTGACTTATTTCGCTCCCCATAACACCCTCAAGGTCCATTCATGTTGCTACACATGACCAGATTTCATTCTTTCTCATTGCCATGTAGTATTCCATCGTATAGATAAACCACATCTTTCTGATACACTCATCAGTTGATGGACACTTAGGCTCTTTCCATGTTTGGGCTATTGTTGAAAGTTCTGTGATAAAGGGTTAATATCCAAAATCTATAAGGAACTCACCAAACTCCACACCCAAAAAACAAACAACCCAGGGAAGAAATGGGCAGAAGATATGAACTGACACTTCTCCAAAGAGGACATCCAGATGGCCAACAGACACATGAAACGATGCTCAGCATCCCTCCTCATCAGGGAAATACAAATCTAAACCACACTGAGATACCATCTTGACAATAAACTATTTGTAAAAAAGAAAGAAAGAAAGAAAGAAAGAAAGAAAGAAAGAAAGAAAGAAAGAAAGAAAGAAAGAAAGAAAGAGAAAAGAAAAA